ACCTGGAAAGTCTCATGGGTCACTGTTGCTTTCGAACTAGATAAGCCTTCTTGGCATTAGATGGTAAATACCAATTTTGTGGTCAGTTTTCAGTTACTGTTCCGGAAAGTTGATTAGCTGGGATTGATTGCTCATAATTACTTGTATAAAGGTAGATAGATCTGAGTTCAGTAATCTCTGAAGTGTTAAACAACCTTAAAATATGTTCTTGTGAATTTATTACTACCTTATTTTGTTTAAGGCATTGACCTTTATTTGTGTGGTTTTAAAAATTACAGGGAATGAGATCTTGAATTTCTGAAACAGCTTGTCTTAAAGAATTAAAAGTGGAATGGCACTAGGATAAGATATATATAACCCTTGAGTTAATGAATGTGGTATAAAAAAGAATCTTATTTTTTTAAAGAAGGAACATGTGTTTTAAGGGACTGGGCTTCTAGCAGTGATTTGGATGCCAGGAAGATAAATAAAAAGTGGACTTTTTTTTTTTGGAGAAGCGATGGGTGGCAAGTGGGAACAAACAGCTGGAAGCTGCAGTTAGAGATGATCTCGAGTAAGCTTTCATTCAGACAAATGGAACTCTGAGTGGTTGTGATAACAGATTTGGGATCAGAACCCAGGGCTCTTGCTCCTGTCCTTCATACTTGTCACTGGTGTTTGGCAGTGTCTTGATTCTGACATGCAAAGGTAGTATTTGTTTTGTTAGCATTATCCAAAGAAGGTTCTGAAAAATGTATTGAGGGCTATGAAAATGGACTGAGAAGCTTAATGGAAGTTGTTTGAATAGTAACCTAAATGTTACTATTTGAATGGTAATTGGAATGATAATTTTGGAATGTTAAGTTCTAGTGTTGGTAAATAAAAATAATTTATGGGTGATAATATACTAAAGGAAGAACAAGTTGGTCAGAGAGAGCGAATCCAGTACTAGACCTTAGGAATCCAAATCTCCCTTTAAATGGTCCTTTGTGGCCATTAGAACAGTAGTGTACTAAAGAGAAGGTGAGTTTTTTGCGACCTCAGATTGTGGTTTATGTCGGTTACACGTGGGTCATAACTCTGGAAAATTTATGGTTAAACCATATGATAATGACTTAGCTTTTTGTGGTTAGTTGCTCAATTCTGGTTCCGTGATCTTTGGATTTGATAACGAGATTTGTGCAAAGCATTGTGCAAATATGGCATACATAGTTTCCTCTGAGGAAAGCTCCAGGTTTTCCCCCTCCCCCAAAACCTCAGGCAGGAATCCTAGAGGCAGGGAAGTTTTCTTTAGAAACATGTAAACTTTTAACTTTGTCTCAGAAACACATGTTTCAGGCAGTCCTCTTTGGAAAGTGGTAGGGCAGTAGTTTGGATTATAAAGGTGAATATGAAAAGACATTTTTAGTAGTCTTTTATTGATTGAATTTTAGAATTAGAGCTTATTTGGTCCAATCTTTTTACAGGTTAGAAAACAGGCAATGGTGTGCATACTTAGGTTAGACTATTGAGTATACTTAGGTTAGACTACTGAGTTAATAAATGGCTAAATTATTATGTTAGGGCCTCCTCACTTCAAAACCTTTTCCAGTGTCAGTGCTGCTTTCTATAGTCCAAAGGTGGAGGTTCCTAAGGTTACTATAACCCAGGTAAACATAATAATAAACACAATATTAAAAAATATTTATGCAGGGGCTGGGTCAAGTGCTTATAGGCAGATAATGTCTCACTTTAACTTTACTGCAGCCCTTTGTAGCTACTGTCATTTTCTCCCTTTATTCCAGAAGAAATTGAGGCCAGAGAAGTTAAGTTACGAAGTTCATGGGTTTCAAGCTTGCAAATGCAGTTGAACTCTGGTTTGTCAGACCCCAGAGTAATCTGAACCATTACGCTTGCTTCACTGGCACTTGAACCTGAAACAGATGGTGAATTGTTGTAAATGGCTATATGAACTAGTTACCTCAAACAAGTCTTTGGAGGTGGCATTTCATAATGCTAGCTCAGGCTTCACCGCATTGTGATTGGAGTTCACCCGTGTAGTGGAGTTCTTGATTTAAGCTCTGAGAGCTTCTTCCTCACTGCAGTATAAGAAGGCAAGCATTACATAGTTCCCATCTTGGGATCTGGGCTGTGGAAACTGTCCCATAAAGGGGGAGCGGGGGCAGAGCCAAGGGCAGTGAAGGGACAATCACCCTGGGACTGGCCATAAAGAAATGAAACTGGTTTTCTTAGTTGCTGACAAATGGCATTCTAACAAGATGCCTGTTTTGAAGAATAACACTCATTTTAGTTTGAAAACTTGATAGGTGTGTGTGGAAAAATCAGTTTTGTAACTTTTAAATCTCATCCTACCTTCTGTTCATAAGTGATAAAAGAAAAATCTTAAGTCGTGCACTTCTGCAACATTCTGCTCTTATTAGGCAGTGTATAGTGTTTGTGATTCAATCAAGAAGACTTATTTAGGGATCTGTTAATACAGTCAGCACTGCATGCATTTGAATTTGTCTCCCATATGATCTAGAACTCTGGGTTTTTTGACATTATGAAGCAAAATTTTAATTTAATTTTAATGATTAAATTTTGCACTGTGCCAGGCATTGTGGCATCTCACACAAATGGTGAGAACCTAAGAGTGGGACATTTGGTACAGGTGAAATTTGGTTAATACATCTGAAAGACAGCTAAACATGCCTGGCATATGACTAACCTAAGTGCAAAGTGAAGCAACTTGTGGTAATGAGGGGGAGAGCTGAGCCAACATCTTGCTCGTGTCATGCAGGCTTTCAAAGTCCCTGCAGTGTGTGCCAAGTGTACACTGATGTCTATATTTAAAGCAGCACAGCTTATAGTGTGAAGAAAGAAGGCAGCAAAGTAGGTACAGCTTGGTGTTGCAAGGGTTGGAAAAACTGTCAAGGATTTCTGTCAAATCCTGGGGAGACAGATGAAGGTAACAAAATACCAAGGTGAAGTTAGAAAGTTTCCCGAATATTTCAGTTTCTTACAGGAAGTTTATAGTTGCTGAATGTGAATCTTTTGCTGAGATGGTCAAAAGAAAGCCTACTGGGCTTCTTCCTCTCACTGTTTTATTTCTGAGGGTGGGGCTCTTACTACTTTTGTCCCTTTCCAGCTTGTAGCTAGTCTCCTGGCCCTCGGCCTTTGGCGGTGTAAGCCAAAGAGCCTGTTTCAGCCATTTCAAGGATTGTGTTGGGTAGGCTGCTGTTCAGTTGAAAGCTGGCTTTCCTGAGGTCATTGCTTTCAGGACTGTTGGGAAGTTCTTTCGGGAAGTTCTTTCATATATTGCCTCAGATGTCTCCTATTAATTATCCTTCCCTTACTTTGGGTTATTTTGAACAAGCTTAATTCTATGACATATCTCCACATATTTGAGAAGAGACTTCTCTTGTCAAGGCTGAACAGCTTTCCTTCTGGAGACATTTGTCATGGTTGCGAAGCATCTTTCCCTTTTCTAAATGCTTCTTCTACAGTATGTTATTCAGAAATAAATTTCAAATATAGTTTAATAAACATGGGACAGATTAGTCCTGTGACAAGCACTATCCTTTTGATGAATTCAGTAAGTTATTTTCCCCTCAGACCCAGCAAACTGCTGCCTCATATAGGACTCTTTCAGTTAAAAATCTGCATCCTTTAAAAAATTTATACTCTTCCACCTTGTCCTCCCCGATTCAAGTTTTAAAAATTTACATTTTGGCCCTGGCCAGTTTTGCTCAGCGGTTAGAGCGTCGGCCTGCGGTCCAGAGAGACCCGGGTTCGGTTCCCGCTAAGGGCACGTACCTCAGTTGCAGTTTGTCCCCGGCTCTGGTTGGTTGTGCGGGTGGCAGCCACTTGATGTGTCCCTTTCATGTCGATGTTTCTCTCTCTCTTCCTCTCTCTCCCTCTTTCTCCCTCCCACTCTACCTGAACAAAAGATGGGAAAATGTCCTTGGGTGAGGATAAAAAAAAAATTTACATTTTGTTGTATGAAGTTTAACAGCTTGTGGAGATTGTTTTGGAATCTGTTTCTCTCACATTCCCATGTTATCTCCAGCTTGAATGTCTGCCTTCTGTTTTCATCCAAGTCATTAGGGAAAACATTTGAGTAACTGGGGAAAACAGGGACATACCTCTAAAAACCTTACAGACTGGCTTCAGTCTGAGTATTTTGTAAAAAATTATCATATGACTTAATTGTATTTCGGTTTAGCCCAAATTCACTTTGTGCACAAAGATAGCATACAAGCTTGTCACAGGTCTTACTGTTATCCAGATATGTGGTGTTTATGACTTTACATTGACTGGCTAGTTTAGTAAAATATCCAAGAAGGAAACAACTTTGGTAGTGTCCTAGAGCTTAGTGAACCCATGCTGGGCTACAGCGATCACTGTTTTCTTTTTCTAAGTGTTTAAAAACCATCTTTGATTCTAGATCTAGCCAGGATAGATAGATACCAGTGGCTTCTGTCAAGCTCTCCTTCATTGCATTTCTTACACTCTTCTGTCTCAGTCTCCCATCATTGCATCATTGGTTATGTGCTATTCTTTCTATTTACCTCTCATAAACCTAAGCTTATTAGAGAAATCTCTGTAGTTTGCCACACTGATTTCTGTAAGTACCTCCCCTTATGTCAGAATCCTATTAAATTATTTTATTAGATTTATGTTCTTGAGAGCTTCCTAGTTATGAAGACATCCCTAAGTTCCTAAATTTAAAACAAATTATTAAAAAAGAAGAGAGAAAATAAATAAATTGGTATATTTTTTCAGAAATATCTGTTCACATGTAAAGTATCATTGAAGTAGATGCATAGAATTTATGGCCGGAACACAGCAGTGGTGGGCAGGGAGAGGAGGCAGTATTTATTAAGAGTGTACTATGTGCCAGGCCATGTCGGAGGTAATCTAAGCAGTTAGTAACTGGGAGCTGGTTGGAACAATCGTTTGGGGGAGAATTGAAAGGTGATTTCTGGTTGTAATTGTGGTGCAATGTGGATTATTTGGATTTTGTTTGTTTTCTTTTAAAGGAACAGTGAGCAGAATGAGTACCTCACAGGACCAGAATGGCTCCACTAAGAGAGAACCCCTTTTGAGGTGTTGTGATGCACAGAGGGACTTGGAGATTGCTATTGGTGGAGTTCTCCGGGCTGAACAGCACATTAAAGATAACTTGCGAGAGGTATGATGTGTGTTTTTCTCTTGCCATGTCTGGACTCTTAGCACAGGGGTGGTTACAGCACAGCCAAGGGTTGGTTTCTCAGTGCCAACCAAGAAGTTTCACCCATGCTTTGCATGGTCTGCCTGAAATGTTGATGTCTTTGATTCCAGAGGGAAATAAAGCAGATGGAAGAGTCTGGAACCTTTTACCACCTTAGAGAATTAGTTTGGCATGCATTTTTTATTGCACTTCTGTGTTGTCGCTCTGCTGTTAATAAAAAAATAACAAAATGAATGAGCAGTATACTGCTCATCTCTTTCTTTGTTGCATAAACAATGGCTCTAGATCCTGTCCCCTACCATCGTTTAACTTGGTGGTAGGCATGGTTTTGGTGGTGGCACGGTTCTGTAAATGACTATATCAGAGCAAGCCAGAATGAAATGTTTGTTCCATTGGGTTAATAGTATTCGCTTGGTGAGTGGGTAGACTAGGTTACACGACTTTGAAATACAACTTTATTATACAGAAAAATGTTTTAAAATAGTTTAACTGTTTTGATTTTTTTTCCTTGTGATGTCTATATTTGCCCCTCTTTGAATCACTGTTTATACTTCCAGAAGCATTTAGTTTATAATCTTCATTAAGCTGTCTACCTTAGTGGTCTCTGGCTGCTGACATGTAATGGCACATTTTTTACGTTGGCTTACTATAAATGGATTGCTCATGTGTAGGGTGAGAAAAGAGTTAATACTCATATTATTCCACTTATAAATTTAAAAAACTATAGGTTTTCATATGAAAAATTGAGGGGGATCAGTATTACCTGACAGACACATCCTTATATTTTTCTCTTGATTATTTTAGGACCCTAAAAGAAATCTGATTCTCTTAGAATTGTGGGAGGATTTTAGAGCTTAGGTATGCCTATATGGCTGAAAGTCTTAAACTGGATCCTTGGAGCCTGGGGACACTAAGAAATTATATAGTCTTTGGGCTTACAACACTAGTGAAGCTAATGTTTGTGTTTCCTAGATCAAAGCCCAGATTCACAGCTGCATAAGCCGTCACTTGGAATGCCTTCGCAGCCGTGAGGTGTGGTTGTATGAACAGGTAGATCTCATCTATCAGCTTAAAGAGGAGACACTTCAGCAGCAAGCCCAACAGCTCTACTGGGTAAGGTAGCTGGTTTCTAGAGAATGTCTTCTCTGTATTGCAGCATGAATATAGATCAGATCAAAGTTTAACCCCAACTGCTATTTGTTAACTTGTACACTTGGTGCTTTTAGTATCATTGTTCTTTTTTTTTTTATAGTTACTGGGCCAGTTCAATTGTCTTATTCATCAACTGGAGTGCACCCAAAACAAAGATTTAGCCAATCAAGTCTCCGTGTGCCTGGAGAGGTAAAGACTGTTTTTCCTTGTTTTGCTTTTTGGCATTTTGACTTGGGTGTATTAAAAAAAAAAAGTCAATTTTGGAACTTATTTCACCTGTTGGATTTAAGTTGACTTCTCTGTTCCTGTGATAAGATCATTTTGTTTTATATATTTAATATTATACTTGGTGCATGTTAAGTCATCTTTTGGTTGAGAGTTAAAAAAATACAATCATTTCAAATAAGTCACAATTTGGCTTTTATTTTGGATGAGATTGAAATAGATGTTTCTTAAAAATAGATTTTATGTTTTGTTTTTCTTCAGACTGGGCAATTTGACCCTCAAACCTGAAGATTCGACGGTCCTACTCTTTGAAGCAGACACAACTGCTCTGCGCCAGGCCATCACCACATTTGGGTCCCTCAAGACCATCGTGAGTAATGTTGATCTCAGATGGTTCATAGTGCGCTTCTTAGGTCTGTGGCTTCACAGATGGTCTTAAAAATCATATTTTTACTATGAATAGTGGCTTTCTTGAGAATTTGGTGAACTTCAGAAATTTCACGTTCTGTTTAAGTCGACAGAGCATTTGGCTGGTAGTTCTTGGGATGTGGTATTGACTCATGGATAATCTCAAGAATTCATCTTGTATCTCTTAAAATCTTTTACATATTTCTTATAAAATTTATTGCTTGAGTGGTGTTTCATATAAAGAACCAAATGTGGTGTCATTTGGGGCTTGTTAAAAGTAGTAATACTACCAATTCTGGTGAAATTTCTTGTATGATGATAGTTATACAGTAGAGAATTCTCAGATTTGATAACTACTTTGTAGGTCATTGAACTTAGTGTAAAGAATATTTATTCTATAGAAATGGTAATACTTTAATACTCTTGAAATTTAGGAATTACAATTTCACTTTTTTGGTATGAAAGTATAACAATAAACATGATTATTTTGCTTTTATTTTATAGCAAATTCCTGAACACTTGATGGCTCATGCTAGTTCATCAAATATTGGGCCCTTCATGGAGAAAAGAGGCTATATTCCATTGTTAGAGCAGGTAAAGTGTAAGTTTGTTTCTGATAACTGAGTTATTACTTGGCTAATATTTCTTTGGGTTTCAACAAATTTTTTTTTGGCTGCCATTTATTTGTAAAAGGGCATCAGTAGTAATGAGTTAGTTTATACAGTTAAATAGTTCTCTTGAGACTGAATGTCAAATAGAAATTTAGAGGTTATGTCAGTGTTGAGTAGGACAAAACATTGTTATCAATTAGTTCATAAGAAATTGTCATCAGCTCTCTGATTGGGTTGGTTCTATCTTGGGGATCCTTTTTTTTTTTTTTTTTGGTACGTGCCCCTAGCGGGAACCAAACCCTGGAGCAGGCCTACGCTCCAACCACTGAGCCAAACTGGCCAGGGCTATCTTGGGGATCCTTTTCAATTCATAGAGATGATTTACTTCTAAAGGCAATTCAGAGGTAGGTTTCTAGACATTTTGAGTTGAAAAGTACCCTGGAGCTCAGCCATACTCCTTTTATAATTGTGAAAATGGAGGCTTAGGGAAGGAAGTCATGTAACTTGTGAAGGGTCAGTGGCAAGCCAAGATTAGAGAGCTTTGGTCTCCTTTTTTCCTGGTGAACTTTCTACTGCGTTTGACATTATCTTGTTAAGCAGCAAAGTATTGTGTGATCAACAGAAGTCAGCATCCAGCACCACAGCTGTCCCTCTCAGTGAATGGCTCCTCGGAAGCAAACCTGCTAATGGTCATCAGGCTGCTTACTCACCCAGCACCAATCTCCAGGACTGGCTCACCCAAAAGCAGACCTTGGAGAATAGTCAGGTGTGTTGCTTTGTTTCTGAGGTAGATGTAAGTTACTAACAGATAGTATGTCTTTGTTTAGTTTTTAGTTCTAGTCTGGAAACATGAATTTTTAATAACTTTTAATTACAATGGTGATACCTCTTCAACACAGATAGAAAGTTTAGAAAACAAAGAACTATATAAACAAAGAACTATATAAAAAAATACAAACCCATACCCGGCCAGTGTGGCTCAGTGGATTGACTGTCACCTCATGGACTGAGAGGTCTGGGTTCAATTTCTAGTCAGAGCATATGCCCGGGTAGTGGGCTCAATCCCCTAGGGGGTGTGCAGGAGGCAACTGATTGATGTTTCTCTCTCCCCGCCTCCTCTCTCTCTCTAAAAAAATCAATAAAAACATTTAAAAAAAGAAAAATCCAAACCCATAATCTGAGCATGCAGAGACAACCAATTTAAAATGTTTATTTATATACTTTATTTTTCTGTGCATACATGTACTTTAAAAAATTATCCTAGAAAACCTGTTTTGGCTAGCAAATTTTTTCACTGATAGAGCATGAATATATTTCTCTGTCATTTAATTCTTCCATAAAACTCTTAATAGAATACAATGTTTCATCGATTGGCTATAACTTAATCTCCAGTTTTTCTGGATATAAACAAAGTTGTTCTAAACATCCAGGGGCTAATTATTTGTGTACGTCCCTTAGGGAGTAAATTTCTAGAAGTTGTATTCCGGGATTACAGTTTTAGATACATATGGCCAATTGGCTTTCCAGGAAATTGATACCAATTTATATTCCCACCAGCACAGTATTGAGTGTACCCTTTTCCCTGAAACTTCTCTAATAGTAATTATTTATAAGTTTTTTTCCTGAATTTGACACAAAATAATTTTGAGTTTTTTTTGCTTATTAAGGAAATTGAGTATTTTTTCCTGTTTATTCACCCGTTTTTTATGATTTGCCTAATCATATCTTTTGCTCATTTTTGTCTTTATTCATAAAGGTATATTATATAGAACTAACTTCTTTTTTCTGTCTGTGCTACAGATGCTTCCTCCTTTTTTGCCTTTTATTATTTTTTAGCTTGCAAAAAATACAAATATATATTTTAACATTGCAACAGAGAAATTCCCTGTCTCTTAAATTTAGAAACATTGGGCAGTGCAGTACATAGGCAAATAGAACGTTATCATTGAATCCCAAAGCACTCAGTGTTCTAGTGAACTAATACTGTGCTCTTTTTCATAGACTTCTGCCAGATCCTGCAATTTCTTTAATAATATCTGGGGCAACCTAAAAGGCTTGGAAAACTGGCTCCATAAGAGTCAGCAACAAGAAGTTCCTGAACAACCAAGTTACCAAAAGGGTAACAGCTATTCTACCACCAGTTCTTACTCCGTTGATACTGAAAAGGTTGAACATCTAGAGCTTCTTGATCAAGATGAGGTGGATCTTTCCGATTGGCTATTGACTCCCCAGGAATCCCAAAAGTTGGAGAAGCCTGGGAATGGTAGCTGTGAAACCAGAGAGAAGTTTAAGCTCTTGTTCCAGGTGTTCCAGGAGGCCTATAGTGTGAATGATTGGCTCATCAAGCCTGATTCCTGTACCAATTGTCGGGGCAACCAGCCCAAAGGTGTGGAGATTGAAAACCTGGGCAATCTGAAGTGCCTGAATGACTACATTGAGGTCAAGAAACCCTCGTCCACTTCCAGCATGGTTATTGAGGATTGGCTTGTCCAGAACTATCAGGACCCATATAAAATAGAAGAGGTCTGCAAAGCCAATGAGCCCTGCACAAGCTTTGCAGAATGTGTATGTGATGAAAATTGTGAGAGGGAAGCTGTGTGGAAGTGGCTGCTGGAGAAAGAAGGGAAGGATAAAAATGGTATGCCTGCGGAACCAAAACCTGAATCCGAGAAGCTCACAGAGTCCCTGAATATGTGGCTGTGTCCTTCCAGAAAAGAGGCAACAGAACAAGCTAAGACATCAAAGGCTCCTTCGAGAATTGCTGATTCCTTCAAAGTGATAAAGAACAGTCCCTTGTCAGAGTGGCTCATCACACCCTCATGCAAAGAAGGACATCCCAAGGAAGTGCCTAGTACCGAGGACAGAGCTGGCAAACAAAAGCTTATGGGTCCCATGGCCACGTCCTGGTGTCCCTTTAACACAGCTGACTGGGTCTTGCCAGGAAAGAAGACAGGAAACCTCAGCCAGTTATCCTCAGGAGAAGACAAGTGGCTACTTCGAAAGAAGGCCAAGGTAAGTGCAGACATCAAAATAGTACCATTTACAATATATTTTAATAGATTTTTATTTTCTTAATCCCAAACCTTGCAAATGGCCCCAGATCCTTAAATATGTTAAAAATTCAATTTGGCTTAAGTATTAATTTTGATGCAATGTTAGCAACAGAATGGAGGATTTATGATTATTTAGACTGAACTTTTTGTTCACTTTCCCCGTTCACAGTCCCTAGCCTGCAGAGAAAAACAAACAAATACCCACAAAGGAAAGTCCAGCCTGTTTTATTGCTATTTATGGAAAAGATTTAGGGGCACAGGAAGCAGCTGTCACCTTTGCTCTTATTAGAGAGAATGCCCAACATTTACATTACTATATATTATTAGGAAGATTTTGTAGCAATCCACCCTTTTTTTCTTGCAGGAAGCATTACTTAATTCACCCCTACAGGAGGAACATAACTTCCCCCCAGACTGTTATGACCTCCCAGCAGTTTGTGATCTCTTTGCCTGTATGCAGCTTAAAGTTGATAAAGAAAAGTGGTTGTATCGAACTCCTCTACAGGTAGGTACATGTCACTAGTGTAAATACTACATATTTTACTGCTTATGTTTTGTCTTATATGTAAATTAATAATTTGCCCATTGAACCATATTCATATTAATGGAACGAATATTAGGCAAGTGAGGGTGGGAGAGGGAGGTTATAAAATTTCATGTAGTTCACTTGTATTTGCTTTATGAAATAACTAGTACATACTTGGAAGTGATGTTTCAAGATGATGTAGTTGTCAGGTGAATTTTTGGAGCCCGTGTGGATTTGAATAGCTTACTGAGAAATGAATGAGCCATGCTTTAAGGTGGGGAGAAATGCTTTTATCCTACAGTGAAGTGACTTTTCATCTGTGGACTTTTCTTTACAGATGTGAAGGAATGGAGTACTAGAGTCAAGCAACTTTTTTCCAAAATATCACACTTCCATGAGCCGAGTGACTGCAGCTTGCCAAATCATTGTGTTTCTGGGTGTGAACAGTCAGCTTAGTTCCTTTCCTGCCTAATTTTGAACTAAAGAGAATAAGTCATCAAATTATGAGTTACTGTATAAAAGAAAAAGGCTGTTTGTCGATGTTGAGGTGGTTCAGTTCCTTCTTACAAAGTATTAACTTAATTCACCCCTACACTAGAAACACAGCATCTTGGTGGATATTTCTTTCATAAGCCTCCATGGCTCCTTAGATTGGAATGTTATTAGTTCATTAAAACATAGCTTTAAAAATGAAATAGTTCTATAATCAAGGTGTTGATTAAAGCTAGTAACCTTCCTTAACCTTTCTTTAGATGCTTCCCTTGCTGTGGGTTTTTTTCCTTTCCACTAGTGGTAGAAGTCATTTAGAGCATATTTCACATAAATAATTAACCTTGAGAATATAGTGATTTTTTTTTTAAACCAAAATGTGTATCAACATTTTGGAAGTTTTTGACATTAATTACAAAACAGTCCACACATCAGATTCTACATTTTCTTTTGGAAGAAACTTAGGTACTGCAAATTTTGTCTTTCTTCTGTAAATGTTATTAAATTATCTAGTGAGCTCTTTGGGACTCTGAATTGCTTCAAAATGATGTCCTGGGTAGTCCTAACCTCTTTGAAAATATTCTGACGAAATACAGGCAAAAGAGCCCCGGTGCTGACTAATCAAAGCAAAAAGCAAGACGTGTTGGAAGTGTAGTACTTAAAAGTATTCATTATCCTAAGGGTTGGTTATTGGTGCATCCTGTGTAAAATGGAAGTTGAGCTTGAGATCGACACTTGGTGCTTTTACCTAGGGATAAATTAAATGTCCTCTTACTTTAGGCATAGTGTACCTTTACCTCTAAAAGTGTACTTGCAGTGACATTTTAGTGAACTGGCCGTTTTGAACACTTGTGCCTTGGGGTGTTTATTGAAGCTTTATGGAAACTGATGTTTTCTCAAGATCCTTCAAGTCATATCCATGCTTGAGAAAAGTTTCTCTGTAGGAGAGAAATGGAATTTATAATGTTTTTAAATTTTCTGCTATACCTGCTTTCCAGGCTTTTAAATTATTAAGCCACTCAACTTGCTTTGGTGTGTATGGTATTGGAAATACTTTTAAAGTTTGTGATGTTGTCATCTAGAAAAAGCCTTTTTGGGGACAATTCAGTCTGACAGCGTCGTTTGTCATACAGCTTCATTGGAATTCTTGAACCACAGCTGGAAAAAGCCCTTTATTATTTTTAGTCTCACCCAGACACCACTTAGAACTTTAATAAAGGTGGTGGGTAAAAACTTAAGCAGCCTTCCCATTATCTTAGGTTTCAGGAAACTGTGTAGTTTTTTTTGAGGTTTAACACTGTGTACTCCTAAATTTAAATTAATCACTATGCTAATGAGTATGTAAAACAGTCTTTGCATTGATGCATTTTGTACCTCCATTAAAAGCGTTAACAGCCGTAGTTTGTGTATTTGTAAGAGTACCTTGTAACAAAATACTCTATCACATGTAAATGTGATAACCTTTGGTTTACTAGTACAGCTGATAAACAACTGAACAACAAAAGCTTTTTATATTTAATAAAATATCAATGTATTTTATGACTCTCAAATGAGCAAGAACCAGCTATGTTGTTACTAACTTCCATTTTCAGTCTGTTGCTGCAAACTCTTCATGTTACTTGTTACTCATTTAATTTCTAATCTGCTAAAGTCCAGTGCTTTTCTGCCAAATCCCTCAGTAGATTCATCCAAAAGGGCCCTAACTTTACTTTTATGTATATGTATAACCTGCAGTGCAATTTCATTTTTTCATAGATGAAAAAACAAATAACTTGCCCTTATTTCCTTGAGCTTTTCGAAGGCCTCCTTAAAAACTTTTTGTCTATTTCATCTCTTTTCCTAACTGTCCCCAGAAAGGGGATGAGTTAATGTATACAGAATTAAGCATGATCACTGGACAGGTCGTTCCAGCACACTAATGGTACAATGTTTAATCTGAAATATCTTGAGGTTATTTAGTGTCAACTCTATTGGAGAAAAATCTTAACCTAGCTGTTAGTGCTGCCAGTAACCGTTTAACACAAAAATGAAAACATGTTTTAGCCTAGCTGGAGCAGAAAAAAATGCCAAGAATAAATTTCACTTTAAACCCAGAACGATGCTTTTAAACGGAGACACCCACTATGTTTCCACTGGAGTGGACTTTGGTTCTGTTCTCACCCTTTATTGGGAATACAGGGCAATATTACAGTTTAGGATCATTAAATGAACAAACGTGGTGATACAGTATTGACAATAAGAATGACCTCAATTATGGGAGTAAGTGGTTTTCCAGTTTGGAGGGTAACAGAACAGGTGCAAGATCTTCAAAGAACCAGATTACTCAGCCACTGAAAGGTTTTGGCCTCAACTAATGGCTGGAAGGAGAGCCAGTTGGTCAGCCATCTTCATCACAGCAAATCAGAATCTGCACAATTTTTCAAACTAATTTTAGGTATAAGAGAGAACTCCAGACTGACTCATAAATTGATCTGGATAACTACTAAAGTGTCCTCTATTCACAAGTTGGCAAAATCTTCAGAGTGACTGTTGGAGCAAGGAGCCTTTCATGTGCTCCCAGTTGTTATATAGTGCATAGAGGCTAGTAAGTGTTAGTCCTGCTAGACCACCTCGTGCTACCCCTCGAAGACCACCTGGGGGAGAGAGAGAAATAGATTTGTACTGCATAGTGGCCTAGCATCAAAGGATTAAATAAGAGTATCATAAAATTAAAACATACCCCCATTCATATTTATAAATACTCCATCCCAAACAGCAGAGTAACCAATCAGGAGATAAATTCCATACTGTTTCACATTTAAAAAACTTTTTTTTAACGTCACAATTTTTACCTAAGATAATCAGCATTAACAATTTCTTGACTTTTCTCCATCTGACTTGTGCTAAATACAGTTCTAGACTTCACTGTCACTGTTAATTGATTTGAGGCTATAGTATAATCAAGGCCACACCCCTTTTGGAAATAGTGAACAGCCTTTGGACTCTGCACTGGCTCTCAAAACAACTTGGAAGATTCAAGTAGAGATAAGATGGCTATTATGAAGCTTTGAGTTAGGCGCTGATGAAGCACCAACTCGCCCACCCCCCACATTCCTACACAGATGTGTCAAAAACAGTCTATAACTACTGAGCAATGAAGCTTCTAGCATCATCACATTAATTGAAAAACATTGAAGAGTTAGACTGAACTATTTTTGCTTCACAAAATATTTTTCCTGTGGAAAAGGGTAAGCAATACTTTGTTTGAAATGCAGAAACAAAAATGTTTCAACCAGTTATCTGAAAATAGCCCCAAGACAGATACCTAAAGAAACTTAAGTACTTGATGTTTCCTTACAGTTTCATAAATAAGTAGGGACCATAAACTTCAGGCAACCTATACTGTACCTATGGAGTTTATTTTTCAAGTTGTGTCAGGAAAGCAAAGGGAATATGGAGTTATAGTCCACTGATTATCTCACTAGAGGTGTGGGACAGTCAATTCTGTGAAATTCAGTGATGTTGCTGAGTTCACTTCACACCAAACATTTTTGCAGTGAATATCCTGCCAGACGGCTTCAGCTGATAGATCAAATGGCCACTCCTTCCAGGAGCCTCTAGTCTGAAGAGTTCTGATAGCTGACCTGCTTAGACTTCTACTATGAAATACCCTAATTATCTCTTTCAAACAGACCCAAATACAAACTGCATACATCAGCTATAAATAGATGTCAAATATGGAGGAGGGAGGAATCAGAAATACATAAATAAGCCAGGAACTATAATTAGAAAACAAATTTAAAGTAAATAGGAGATACCTCCTTGAAGTCAAGATCTCTTTATATCATCTTGCTATAGTTAGACTAGGCACTGCAATTGGATTTGCAACTGTATTCAATATGACTGAAACATAAAACTAAGGTATAATGTGCTAATTAAAAACAATCTCAGTCTAGAAGGATCTGCTTCATGTCTTTGACCAGTAAGTCAATAAAAAGTTTTATGGAATGCAAGTGAACTATAATTAGAAAATTCCTAAAATGAAAAATAAACTACAAAGTACAGGAGAATAAAAGCTAAGCTGTTTGCAAGAACATCACTATGGCTCAGTTATTAAACCTCAACTTTGAGTGTAATGAGGGTTCTCTCAAACAGGTTACAAAACTTTCATACTCGAACCCATTTTGAGTCAACACAAAGCAAAAGCTAAGGTGACGTCACCACTGTTTATTAGAAAAATGATGAAGGCAGGTAACTGAAAGCTCAATAGTTTCTGCAGATACTATTTCCTGGAACCAGACACTCAGACTAACGCCCCTGGACCTTTAGTATATAGATTACAGAACCACAGAGCTCTGTAGTCTGCCTACTGGGTTTGGAAATAGCTGCAAACTGTTTCTGCCAGTTGGCACTTTGTTTTGAGTATCTAAACATTGTTTCTGCTTGGCCCTTCTGGAGGGATTTTCACACTAGTTTTCAGCCATCAAATAAGCCTCCTGGAGGGCACAGGCACTGGGTAACAGAATTACAAAACTTTCAGGTCTCTGGAACATTAATGGCATATTACGTGTTCATTAAGAACAACTTATCTGCCCAGCCGGTGTGTCTCAGTGGACTGAGCATCGCCCCATGGACTAAGAGGTCCAAGTTTGATTCCTAGTCAGGGCACATGCCCGGGTTGTGGGCTCGCTCGATCCCCAGTACGGGAAGGAGGAAGCCGATTGCTGTATCTCTCTCACATGTATGTTTTTCTCCCTCTCTCAAAAAAATCAATAAAAACATAATAATAATAGAAAAGCTTTCTACTTTCTAACTAAACTGAAATAAACAGTTCGAATCAATTAAATTACTTCTTTGAAGACTAGAAAAAAGTTATTTCCAGCAAGAAAAAAAAAAGCAGTGTTTGATTTACTAAGCAGTTAATCCTGACTCAAGGGTAGCCTTTTATCACATAGCAGCCATGTTTTAGTTTTAACTCTTACTACTACTTTCAGAGTTTTCCAACTGGTTGCTCTGTGAAATGTTTGAGGACCTTGGCTTTAGGCTTTCTGTAATCAAACAACTTCTGGCTAGCTAAGCACAGGAAGTTGATTAGCAAATATACTTGTTTTGAACAGAGAGTAATCAAATAAGGCCAACGGTCAGTCTCTATAAAGCACAACAAACATGAGATGTGTGTTTCACAAAGTTTTACCTTCCATCTTTTTTGGATCCTTATACCACTTCCAGAAAGGGCAAATATTACTTCTTTAAACATGGGGAAATGAAGCCCAGGGCTGGCTAGTGGCAGAGCTTATACATTAAATTAATAATTACTTCACAGCAGGAATTGGTAAATTTTTCTTAAAATGGCCAGAAAATAAGTATTTTAGGCTTTGAGACCAAAGGCTATTATGTAGTACTTATAAAAGCATTTGAAATGTCACTTTAAAAAAATGTAGACACACGGAACAGGTAGGCATCTGGCAAACAGGAATTGGTGGGCCCCTGGTTTAGAGGAACAGACTTACCTATACACTGATATAGCTACTAAACACCATTCAAAATATTTTTCTCATTAACTTAAAAGAATTTGGTTAAATTTATTATTTTTGAAAATTGTGGTAAAATACAAATATGGTATTTACCAAAGTGTACAAGTTCAGTAGCTACCATCATCACCATCCATCTCCAGAGAACCTTCATCTTGCAAAACTGAAACTCTGTACCTGAAATAGTACCTCCTCCTCCACCTTCTCAATCTAACGCTTAATATTTTTTTTATCCTCACCTGAGGACATTTTTTCATTTTTGTTTAGAGAGAGTAGGAGGGAGAGAGAGGAAGAGAGAGAAACATGGACGTGAAAGGGACGCATCGAGTGGCTGCCTCCTGCATGACCCCAATGGGGACGGGGACAAACCACAACCAAGGTATATGTCCTTAGCGGGAATCGAACCCGGGATGCTCTGGTCCACAGGCCAATGCTCTAACTGCTGAGCCAAACCGGCCAGGGCTATAAGATGACTTTCTGTTTTTAAAATTTTTTATTTTATTTTTATTTTTTTGCATTTATCTTCAGATAGAGCAGGAAGGAGAGAGGGTGGAAGAGAGAGAGAGAAACATAGATGTAAGAGAGACATCAAGTGGTTGCCACCCACACAACCCCAACTGGCCTTTCTGGTTCGGGGTCTGACACTCTAACTGTTGAGCCAAACCGGCCAGGGCTAAGATGACTTTCTTATGGAAGAAATAAGATTAACAGATCAGGAATGTTTTTTGAATGGGAAGAGGGGCCCGTGTCTTGGTCTCTAAGGCCTTGTTTCCCAAAGAAAGTCACCAGGCCTCTTAAACATTCCTAAACTAATGGATGACAGCAAAACTACAGCTGTTCTTGTTCTGGCAGAATACTGATCATTATTAAACACTTTCATATGCCACAGAAAAATCTAATAACGACATTTCACGCCTCCCTAACTGAACTAAAATCATATGAACAAAGTGAACTACCAAGCAAAGTAAGAGAAAGACTCATAGAGAGCAGGCAAACAGCTCAGGGAGTGTTGGGGGTTGTGGGTGAGCAAAAGAGAAAAACTCACGGACATGGACAACCCTGTGGTGATTGCGGGGGATGACATAGGGGGGTGGAGGTGGAAGAAGGCATAGAGGGGGGATATACAGTAATGAAAAAAATAAAAAATTAAAAATATCGTATCATCAGAATTATTACTTTAAAAAATTAGCCTCTTGCTATGGCTGGGGGGCTCAGTTGGTTGAAGTATTGTCCATACACCAAAAGATTGCAGGTTCAATCCCATCATGGCACGTGTGGGAGGCAACCAATTGATATTTCTCTCCCCCTTCCTCTCTCTAAAAGTATTACTCATGTACTAAAGTTACTACATTGAATCATACTACTTTCATTCTAAACTCCTCCTTCCTTTTATTAATTAATTTATTTTTTATTCCTCACCCGAGGATACTTTTCTATTTATCATTAGAGTGGGAGGGCGGGAGGGAGAGAGAGAGAGAGACAGAAACATCGATGTGATAGAGCCACATCGACTGGCTGCCTCCCGCATGACCCTGCCAGGGCCGGGGATGAACCGCAACCCAGGTATGTGCCCTTCACTGGAACTTAACCCTCCACTCATTGGTCTGTGGGCTGACGCACTAACCACTGAGAAAAATCGGCCAAGGCTAATTTAATTTTTTGTTGTGAATCCTCACCCAAGAATATTTTTTTCCCATTGATTTAAGAGAGTGGAAAGAAAGGAGGAAGAGAGATAGAAACATCACTGTGAGAGTAACATCAATTGCTTGCCTCCCACATGAGTCCACCCAGGGACTGGGTATTGAAACTGCAACCCGTGTATATGCCCATGACATAGTATTGAACCTGCAACCTTTTGGTGCATAGGCCAACATTCTAACCAATAAACCACACTGGCCAAGGCTAACCTCCTTCCTTTTTATTTTTTATATATTTTTTTCCCTATTGATTTTAGAGAGAGGAAGGGAGAGGGGGAGATAGAAACATCAATGAGAGAGAACATCGACTGGCCGCCTCCTGTATGCCACCCACTGGGGATTGACCCCACAACCTTGGCATGTGCCCTGACCGGGAATTGAACCAGCAACTACTTGGTGCATGGGATGACGCTTAACCACTGAGGCACACCTGCCGGGCTAACCTACTTCCTTTTATTAAAAAAATTATCTATTTTTTATCCTCACCTGAGGACACTTTTCCATATTTTGTTCAGATAGAGTGGGAGGGAAAGAGAGAGAGAGAAACATCGGATGTGAAAGAGACACATCAAGTGGCTGCCACCCACACAACCCAACCAGGGCTGGGGACAAACTGCAACCAAGGTACATGCCCTTAGCAGAAACCGAACCTGGGTCTCTGGACCACAGGCCAACGCTCTAACCGCTGAACCAAACCAGCCAGGGCAAAAAAATATCTATTTTTGAAGAGTACACGGGACTGGAAATATTTTAGGTCAGTAGGAATTAGCTCTTTGCCAAATGTAAAATTCTTCCCCTAACAGTTTATGCTATTTCTAGATTAAGAGTGCCTAAACTATTTTCTAAACATGAAAGTTGAACTACATTAATATTCTTGCCACACAAATCAATAAGACACTGATCTGCCTTTGTTAGATTGACTGTGATGTGCTGAGCTAGGAATTGTGAAGCAATGCTGGAATTCTGGTTCAGCAGATCATTTACTTACTTTATGTTCCACAACTGAAAGGAAACTGCAACCAACTTACCACCTGATGGAGTTAATGAACAATCCTTTTTGCTTTTTCTCTTTTGAGCCAAGGGCTTTCCACTCCATAATTTATGTTGAAGTTGCCCCAAGCTATTACTGCAAGAAAGTCCTTGACACAGAAAACAAGGCTCCCATTTCTTTGATAATATCAACTGTTTAGCTTTTCCCTATTTTTAAAAAATATGCATAATGCTTTAAATTAGATGACAATTTGTATTCTTATATTCAGAACTTCTCCTAACACAGGAAATGGCACAATGGCTTACTCTAAGAAAATGGAATGGTGGGGACCCAACTGGAGCTTCAGTGCCTACCCACTGGGGTAGAAGCAGCTTTCCACTCTGCTCCAGCCATTTGCCACCATAACGTGGAGTGAGCTGGGTGTCGTTGTCAAAAACAGCTGAAATTCCAGATTTTTGTGAAATCTCCATTTTTAAAAATACTAACTTGTCATTTAAAAATCTTTGCTGGATGAGTGCTACCTTTGTGAGGCCATTTAAAATTTTAATTCTTTTGTCTGACCCTACAGATTTTCAATGTCAAAGTATTTTTAGGTTTTTAACAAGGTTTTTCTATGCCAAGGCAACAGTTCAGGGACATATTCTATGTGAAGCTGTTTGTGTGTAAACACACATAAGTGTTGCAAGAAGTTTTGTGAGCTCTTAGGAATAAAATTCCAAATGCAATCTATTTTCAATATAGAAAAGCCTCTTACTCTAAGATATGTTAGGACAACTTTGACTTTATAATCATGTGAGATTTCTCTCATTTCTTTCTAGTAAAAATTAAGCAAAAATACTACCTGATATGTGTGATGGAGGAATTCCTAACAAACAGAATGACTCAGTTAATCAAATATCTAATACATAATAAAGCAATCAAACAAAAGTGCTTTTCAGAGGCAGAAATATAGAACTTATGCAGTTTAATTAAACCATTTAAAACTTACATGTAGCAGGAAGAAGGGTGTCAATGGGGAAAGAAGAAGGGACATCTGGAATACTTCCCACATTAAAGATACAAAAAAACCTTGAAGTGTGGCCCTGGCCAGTTTGGTTTAGTGGTTCGAGTGTCAGCCCTCAGACCAAAGGGTTTCGGGTTTGATTCCGGTCAAGGGCATGTACCTGGATGGCAGGTTAATCTTCGGCCCCGGTAGGGGTAGAGCAAAAGGCAACTAATTGATGTCTCTCTCTCACATCAATGCCCCACTCCCACTCTATCCAAAATCAATGGAAAAAATATATCTTCGGGTAAAGATTAATAACAATAAAACAAAAACAACAAAAACAACAAAAACTGAAGTGTGATGAAAAATTTGGAGCTGTCACTCCTCATATGACATTTTTTATTTTAATCCTCATCTGAGGGTATTTTTCCATTGACTTTTAGATAGAGTAGAAGGGAGGGAGGGAGAGAGAAACATGGATGTGAGGTAAACACATTGTTGGTTGTCTACCGCATGACTCTGGGGTTGGGGATCAAACCTACAACCCAGGTACAGGCCCTTGACTGGAAACTGAACCTGAGTCCCTATGGTCCTTGGGCCGATGCTCCAACCATGGAACCAAACTAGTCAGGGCTCATATGACATTTTGAAAAAAAACTGTCTTAATACTATGCTCATCTATAAAGTTTGAGTGTGATTATCACTTCACAGAGTATTATATATTGTTTATTGCTGAGAGTATAATTATAACTCAGTAAGTGTTAGTAATTTTGCAATTTTGAGAATTTAATATCTGATCTTCACCCAGACCATTCTGGTTCCACTCTTAGGACTTTTGTTTTTACAAAATTGAATGGTATTTAGTTTATCCAATGTTCATTCATAACAATATTATTCAAGGCAGCCAGGAAGCAACCCAAGTGTCCACTGAGAGGTGAATAAGCAAAATGTAGTATTATGAACAATGGTACTATTCAGCCTTAGAAAGGAAAAAAATTTTGACACATGCTACAACATGGATGAACCTTGAGGACATTACACTAAATGAAATAAGCCAGTCACAAAATGACAAATGCTGTATGATTCCACTTACATGAGGTACCTAAAGTAGTCAATTTCATAGTTAGAAAGCAAAATGGTGGTTGCCAGGTGCTGAAGGGAACAATGGAGTTGTTTAATGAGATTTCAAGTTTTGCAAAATGAAGAAAAGTTCTGGAGATTGATTGCACAACAATGTAAACCCATTTAACATTACTGAACTATAATACAGTTCAGATGGTCAATTTTATGTTACATGTATTTTACCAAAACTGAAAAAAAAAACAAAAAAAAAACACCAAAACAATCACCAAATTTCTAAGAACACTAGATTATACTGCAAAAAAAAAGTATAGCCTTCTTGGAAAACTATGACTAAAAAGCATACTTCAAGTGTACTAAAGGACAGCTCTCTATTCAAAATTTCCTACCTGTACATTTATACAACATGCCCGTCATAGTTCCAGCTGCTACTGTATTGAGGTCATCTTCTGCACCTCGTGTTTTCTCAATGATGACACCAAATGCACTATAAAGCAAAGCTACAGGAGAAATGGAACTCATCAGTAATAAAAAAGTGATTAAAAGCCAGTATGGAAATTATATTTAGATAAATATATCCTACAGACATCATTCTATAAGTATTCAAAGGCACATAAAGAGTGATTCCTTGAATACTGTAATAGCAAAAGCCCGGCAACAAATAAAATGCCCATCAGGAAGAGACTGATACAGAAAGGAACTTTCCATGTGATGGAATACTATATATACTCAAAACAGAATGGAGGATGAGCTACATTCACTATCATGCAACGTAGGCAAGTGATTACAACTCTGATTATGCAAAGATGATGTTTGGAAAGATTCAGAAGAAATATTAACAGAAGCTATTTTGTTTTAAAAATTTTTTAATTTTTTCTCCCTTTATTGATTTTAGAGAGAGAGGAAATGAGAGAGATAGAAACATAGATGAGAGAGAATGACTGGCCGCATCCTGCATGCCTTGCACTGGGGATCGAGCCCACAACCTGAGCATGTGCCCTGACCAGGAATCAAACTGGCAACCTCTTGGTGCATGGGTCGATGCTCAACCACTGAACCACACTGGCTGGACTAACAAAAGCTATTTATGGAAAGTACCAATGGGGACCTCCATGAAGAGTATCTTTAATTTTCACTTGTATTTTATTTACAGTAGCTGTACTTCAGATTTAGAAACAAAAACACATGTATTTCTTTTTTTTTATTTTTATCCTCACCTGAGGACAATTTTCCATTTTTTGTACAGATAGAGTGGGAGGGAGAGAGAGGAAGAGAGAGAGAGGGAAACATCGATGTGAAAGGGACACGTCGAGTGGTTGCCACCCGCACGACCAACCAGGGGCCGGGGACAAACTGCAACCGAGGTACATGCCCTTAGCGGGAACCAAACCCGGGTCTCTCCGGACCGCAGGCGGATGCTCCAACCGCTGAGCCAAACCGGCCAGGGCCACATGTATTTCTATTGTAAGAAAAATATAACTTAAAAAAAGGTGAAGTTTGGTTCCTGTACTTCACCAAGATCAACCTTTGTTGTGATTTTTAAAAAATATATGATTTTATTGAGTTTTTTAGAGAGGAAAGAAGAGATAGAGACATTAATCTGAGAAACATCAATCGGCTGCCCAATGGGGATTGAGCCCGCAACCTGGGCATGTGCCTTGACAGGAATTGAACTAGGATTTCTCAGTTCGTGGGACAACCCTCAATCCACTGAGCCACACTAGCCGGGCATGTTGTGATGTTTTTAGAAGTTTACAAAGGCTCTTTTTTCTGTTTCACTTATTTAACTGAAACTGAACTTGAGCAGAACATGTGATTAATCATGTATCACAAAAGGAGCACACAGGGTGACTGGCCATCCCAGTGTGCCCAGGACTGAGAATTTCCTGGTACATGGGACCTTCGGTGCTAAAACTAAGAAAGTTCTGGGTAGAACAGGATGGCTGATTACTCTAGGTACACAAGCAAATCAAACAGAGCAAAGGCGGGTGATGATGTATGGGGGTGGGGCAAGGGGACATGAGCAACATGGAAGCAGCCATCTACTAGGGGCCCAAATGACAGTCTGACTTTATAGTGTGAAAATGTACTAATTCCAAACTTCATGACAAGGCTAGGATCTCATTGTGTCAAAAGCCTTTTCTATCTTTCAATGAGATGCCTAAATTTTTCCTTATTTAATCTGCCATATTTAAAAGATTTTCAGGCTTTCAACTAAGTTCTAAAGAAAACCTTGATGTTAGGACATCAGTGCCACAAGCAGGTTTATTTTAAGTCGTGAGTAAAGAGTCAGTCATTCATAAACAATATAGTAGGAAAGCAGTGGGCCCTAAGTACTACCAAATTACCCCTTGCTTAGAGGTATCTTCAAAGGCCCTAATGATGAACCAGCCTTAGGGAAACAGAGCAAGAGGGCTGGATTAATCCATCACATCTAACTACAGGACACTGAGCCTTTCCTACCATACAAAGCCATTTGCCTTGAACCTAAATTATTTGGATTTCATTTAGTTAAAACATGATTTTATTTGGTGTCACGCTTGGACAGGAGCGAATTCAAAGTTCTAAAAGATTCAAAACATTCAGAAATGGTATATAAGATGGTAGTAGCACTTTGGGATTATTTTATGTAGTTCTTGGTCTCTTCCTAGAATTTAAATTTTTCATGGTATGTGTACATTCTTTCCTTGCATTAACAATTTATTATAAAGTAAAATCTCTACTTACCCAGAGAACCTAGAGTATTAGCCCAAAGTGCCCCTTGCCTGGTCACCATGTTCAAAATCCTATAAGGGCAGAAAGACACAAATTCTGTATTTAGAATCATTAATTCTTCAGTAACGTGAAAAACCATTAATTGCAGCTATTTAAAAAGTATAAACCCGATTCCCAGTTTTTTTCATTGAAATAAATTAAGAATGACTTACTTTACAGAAATATAAACGAAGGTAGGTTAAAAACTCCAACCTTTCTGAGCAACAAAGAAATTTCTTATTAAATATATAACTTATTAAATATATATCAAACACATAAAGGCTTTGAATGACAGCCTGAAATGTATTTTATAAGACATTTACAGAAACTGATCTGCATTTAAAAAAAAGGCCATTTTAATGAACAAACTAGTTTACTGTTAAGTTTTGTTTGGGGGGTGGGGTGAGGGGTACATACTGAAAATATTAACTAGAATCAAAGCATGGAGTATTACAGAATATACAGAATTAATAAATACTCGAAGAGAAGGAAAGAGCAAACCAGAATACACGAGGAAGGACACTCTATGTCTGCTCCCACACTAGAACTAAGCAGCCAAAGTGAACGCTTAGCATACTCTCAAGGAAGCATAGTTCTGCCTTGCACCAGTGCCTGATGCCATCAGAACAATGACAGAGGCAACTGGAGGAAGAAGACAGGACATTCCTCTCCCAGCAGTGTAACACCATCACAAGAACATTCTGTCTGGACAGCTGACTACTGCTGGAGGTTAGAGAATCACAGTAACAAACAGAAAAAGAACTGATTTAAATTAATGCTCAATAACAAAAATTTCTATTACTCACAAGAGGTTGTTTATGGCGAAGTATACTGTTTCTAATCAATTATTTACTAATATATTTAAAACTTAACACATTGCTTTTACATTCATCACAATTTTTTTTAAAATTCTGCGAAAAAGAAGTCACTCTTAAAATACACGCTTTTTATTGATCTTTAGAGAGGAAAGGCAGGGGTAGAGACAGAAACACCGATGTGAGAGAAAAACATCAATCGGTTGCCTCCTGTATCCACTCTGACCAGGGACTGAACCATAGCCTGGACATGTGCCCTAACTGGGAATTGAACCAGTGACCTTTCAGTGCATGGGATGCACCAACTGAGCCACCTGAGCCACACCAGCGAGGGCTTTCACAGGCTTTTAGAATTATTAATTTTCATAGTACTGTACTTCTGATCGTACTGCAAACTGGTAAAATTCTTTGGGATGTAATTGAGCAACATACCTTCATTTACCTCACAACCATTCTTAAAGGCAAAAAGTATAGAAAGCTTACCTATGATCACAAAATAGTAAGTAATAAAACTAGGCTTTGAAGCTACATAGATCTGTCTAGCTCGAAACCCTATCTTCTTTCCATTTTAATATGCTGTCTCTCAGGTAGAGCGGCACGATTATATGAAAAATGGTATATAAGATTTTTAAAAAATGCAAACCAATTTGACTCTCCAAAAAATCAACTATTACTGTTCTAAAAAACAAAGGTTATCTTTTTCAGGAGATCTTCCACTTTCAAATTGATACTTAATAATATAACATTGGGGACTTGTTTCATAATAATATGGAAGGGAAGGAGATGGGACACAAATGGTCTTGGTTGATGGTTGTTGAGCATAAGTCATGGTTAACAGGTGTTCACTGTACTATTTTGTCTACTTTTGCATACATTCTCTATAATACAAAAAGTAAAAGAAAATTATTAGAATAAGAGACAAATATTAAGAATATAAATAGAATAGTCAATAATCTGGGCTAATAAAGCAAGGGCAACGATACACACAGGAACAGGAATATGCCTCAGGATTCCCAAGGTCTAATTCTAGCAGACACCTGCTGCCATCTGCTGGTTAAGCAACAAAATAATGAAGAATGAGTTTCAAGTGTCCTAAAACATAACTGAGAGCCATTTAATATATACTGTGATTACAATGATATAAAGTATAAAAACATGCAAAACTAAACAATATAGCAAGGGAATATCAACAGGGACTGGTCATGTTTATTTCTTTAGGTGGGTGAAGATATATACTTTCTGACCTTTTTTGATTGTACTTTCCCTTCTCTGCAAATCAATTTTCCTAGAAGACTACTGTCCTTTTGGAACTCTCTCTTAAGTTCTAGGAATTTCATTTAAATTTGCTGCAGCTTTCCATTTCAGAAATAGAGAGTAAAGTTAAAATCCAAGTCAAGTAATAGCAGATCTAGCAACCACTCTATGTGCTTCTTATTTCTTCACTACCACGTCCTACAGGTCTGTATGCCCCTGAACAATCCCAATAATGTACTAATAATTGTATAATTTGAAAAGCAGGTTATATAGGCCTGCAGAATAAAACAAGTGCAGCTGAGAAGTTATGTTGGGGTAGGACCAGCTGACTGAGGGACACTGGCTCAAAAATCATTCCTTTTAAAAGCTTAAGAATCAGTAACCTGATTCCTTAGTTCCTTTTATTTTGAGCAAGAAAAAAAAATTTACCAAAAAATATATCAATACTTGCAATATCTGTAATCTCAAGGTAGTGCTCATCAAGCCAACACAGTAGAAGTTAATATTCACACATCACCACATCATGAGACTTACTGTACGTTTCTTGGTTTGGACCAGGCCATGTTCTGGGTTTCTTTCAATCCTAGCCGTAGACCGTTCATTGCCCCAAATGCAGCCCCTAGTAACAATTCATCCAAATAATACATCTTTATATTTAAAAATGGCACTTCTGATTCTTTTTTATTTTTTTATATAATAGGAAAAGATGAAAATGTAAGTAATAATTTTAAAACAACGTAAAAGCAATATTCTAATTGCTTTTGATTTTAAGCATCTTTGACTACTTGGATTGAGGACACTTAAAAAAACTGTTACACCCACCTGTCATACAACATCCTCCAATGGTAAAAAAGGCCAGTTCAAATCTGCCCCGGGTTTTATTAGCTCCGGTTGGTAAAATAAACTCATCTGTATCCTAAAGGGGTAATAATAAAAACCAAGCTGAGCTCCCCTCAGAACAGAGTAATTGCAAGTTTTTTAATTTGTTAAAATAGTTTTTCACAGAAAGTAAAACCCTACATCAACTAAAACTTAGCTATACTTAGTCAAACAAAAACTTTCTGCAACAACAGCAACACCTAAACCAAAGTGAAATGACATATACAACATATACAGTTATGCTCATTAATTCTTAGGAGGGATTAGTTCTGATGAGGGATTCTTATTCAGAACTATGCTTCTCCATGTTTTACAAAGTGCATGTAATTTGCCTTATGTAATAATAAATTTGAAGCAACACTGCAACAGTTTAGAAAGAACAGCCCTAAAGAAAGGCAATAACACAGTAACAATCTAGAAGGAGAAAATAACTTTCATTCCATAGCTACTATTTAACAAGCACCATTTAACAATTTATAAGACTAAATGATTATTAAAAAAAAAAAAAAGGAACTATAAAAGCACAACAGTTTGGATCAATTATGTAAAGGCAAAATTGCCTTCTTAACAATTATTACTTTGCTAGTCTTAGAAAGCTATAAATCATCTTTCCAATAAATGCATAAACAAAATTTGGTATGAACCCTTTACAGGCTATTATCCAAGAAACCCAGGTTAAGAAATGCTACTGTTAAGAGCACAATATGTTAAATTGCGCAATACAATACACTCTTATTAAGAACATGTTCAATACATTTTTGCCAAGCTTTCCACAAAAATGGTTAGAAAAAGCCCCTGTAGTACACACACACTCGGTCCCTTTGTGAAATACTGACCTTTGTTTAGTAAATGCATTCCTGATTAGGAAAACCACAGCCCTGCCTGCACTGGATTTTTTATTTCTGGCTTCTGCACACATTCTCAGCAAAAACTGCATAAATAAGCAAGCAAATCTACTCTTATCACATAGAAATGGTTTGTTGGGTAATAAAGGAAAGTCTGAATAAATGCCATGCCATAATATAGTTATATAGTTTTGTAAAGTTTGGGTGCTTCCTGACTTTTAAATTAATGAATAAATTTTATTTTTTTTAAATATATTTTTATTGGGGGATGGGGAGGAGGGTGTCAATGAGGAAAAAAGGAGAAACATCTGTAACAAAAATAAATAAAAATAAAATAAAATAAAAAATATTTTTATTGATATTTTTAGAGAGAAAGGGATAGAAACACTGATATGAGAAACATAAACTGGGGATTGAGCCCACAACCTGGGCATGTGCCCTGACTGGGAATCAATCGAACCAGGACTTCTCAGTCCATGGGACAATCAATGCTCAATCCACTGAGCCACACTGGCCAGGCTAATGACTTAACTTTAAATTGTGATTCTGGTTTGAAGTTTTTTGAAATTCGTTATTTAATCTGATGAGGTAAATAATTATCTTTCAATGCAGAAATGGGTCACTAATTACAAAGAGTAAATTGAAAAAAAAAAAGGTCGTTATAAACATTAGTAAGCACAAGTATAAGTCATCAACAACTTACTCTGTTAGGGTCAACAATATGAGGGTTGCAAGCAAATATACAGCAATTCACATACAGTCACTTGAAAATAATATTAAACCTTCCAAGAAACTGGAATATCTTCCAATTTATTTGTCTTAAGCTTTTTCAAAATGTTTTGTAGTTATCAAAGTTTTGCATTTTTATTGAATTTAGTCCTAAATATTTTATTCTTTTTGATGTTACTGTAAATGGAATTTTTACATTTTCATGGTGTCCATTGCTATTATATAAAAAAATTATAGCCCTGGCCGGTTTGGCTCAGCGGTTAGAGCGTCCGCCTGCGGTCAAGAGAGACCCGGGTTCGGTTCCCGCTAAGGGCATGTACCTCGGTTGCAGTTTGTCCCCGGCCCTGGTTGGTCGTGCGGGTGGCAGCCACTTGATGTGTCCCTTTCACATCGATGTTTCCATCTCTCTCTCTTCCTCCTCTCTCTCCTTCCCACTCTGTACAAAAAATGGAAAAATGTCCTCGGATGAGGATTAAAAAAAAAAAATTATATACATGGACCTTGTATCCTTCAATTTTGCTGAAACTGTATATTAAAATTTTTTTGTGTGGTTTCTTTAGGATTTTGTATACACAAGATCATGATACTTGAAATTAGATAGTTTTACTTCTTCCTTTATCAGTCTTGATACCTTTCATTCTCCTGCCTAACTGCCCTGGTTAGACAATGCTAAATAAAAGTGAAGAGAGTGGCCCTAGCAGGTTTGGCTCTGGGGTTAAAGCATTGGCCTGTGGACCAAACAGTTGCAGGTTCAATTCCGATAAAGGGCACGTACCTCGGTTGCAGTTCGGTCCTGGCCCTAGTAGTATGGAAGGCAACTAATCGATGTGTCTGTCTCACATAGATGTTTCTCTCTCTCTCTCTCCCTCCCACTCTATCTGAAAATAAATGGAAATATATCCTTGGGTGAAGATTTAAAAAGAAAAAAGTGAAGCAAGTGGACACCCTTGTCTTGTTCCTTATTAGTGGGAAAGTATTGAGACTTGCACCATTTAAGTATGATGTTAACTTTGAATTTTTTTCATGAGTTCTCTTAGGATTTTTTTTAAAAACTTCACTTTTATTGTTGACTCTATTACAGACGTCCCCATCCCTCCCCACCAACCTCCTTTGCCCACTTCTACCCAATCCCCATAGCTTTTGAAATTTTGCTAAAATATATACATATATATTTTTTATCCTCACCCGAGGACATTTTTCCATTTTGTTCAGATAGAGTGGGAGGGGGAGAGAGAGAGAGAAACATCGACGTTAAAGGGACACAGCACGTGGTCGCCATCCGCATGACCCAACCAGGGCCGGGGACAAACTGCAACCGAGGTATGTGCGCTTAGTGGGACCAGACCCGGGTCTCCCCAGACCGCAGGCTGCCGCTCTTACTGCTGAGCCAAACTGGCCAGGGCAATATATACATATTTTTAATGGGTAGTTTTTATTTATTTAAAACTTGTAAAAAGTAATTTGGAAAAACAACAACAACAACAAAACTGTACAGGGGCTATAAATAAAGTGATTGTCCTCCATCTCTTTTGCTACCCATAATCCTCAAAGACTATTGCTGTTTGATAACTATATTTTTCAAGACATTTCCCTGCTCAAACATATTTTTATATGAACAATAATTTCTGTCACAGTTGGAATCATATTGAGCACACTGTTGTTTTTTTCCTCCAAAAAATGTATTGTTTGTCTTAAATTTTTTTTTTATTTTTTAGAAAGGAAGAAAGATATAGAAAAATCGATGTAAGAGAAACATCAATCGGCTACCTCCTGTGCTACAATATTTTTTTTATCAGATTAAAGAAGTTCCTTTCTGTTCCTAGTTGAGTCTCTCCATTTGTTTTTGTTTTTTTAATCACAAAGGAATGTTGAATTTTGTCAAATGCTTTTTCTGCATCTATTAAGCTAATCATGTAGTTTCTTTCTTTTACTTATATGGCATAGTATAATGATTTTCAAATGTTAAATCAACTTTGCATTCCTGAGATATCCAACAAAACTCTTTGAAGTTTCTTGATCAGTTCAGTCCCAATCTAATAAAACAAAAACCAACCAAAACCAAAACAGATTGGCCAGAGTGGCTTAGTTGGTTGAGCATTGACCTGTGCACCAAAAGCTTGCCGGTTTGATTCCTGGCCAGGGCACATACCAAGGTTGCAGGTTTTTTCTTTCTTAATCCTCGCCCAGGGACATTTTTGCATTTATCTTCAGATAAAGCGGGAGGGAGAGAGGGGAGAAGAGAGAGAGAGAGAAACATTGATGTGAGAGAGGCACATTGAGTGGTTGCCACCCACATGACCCCAACTGGGGTGGGGATAAACTGCAACCAAGGTACGTGCCCTTAGCGAGAACTGAACCTGGGCCTCTCTGGTCCGCAGGCCAATGCTCTAACTGCTGAGGCAAACTGGCCGGGGCATAGGTTGTGGGTGTGATCCCTAGTTGGGGAGCGTGTGAAAGACAACCAGCCCTGGCCAGTTTGGCTCAGCAGTTAGAGCATTGGCCCGCGAACCATAGAAAGACAACCAATCACCGTTTCTCTCTCACACTGATGTTTTTTTCCTCTCCCTCACTGCTTCCCTTCCAAATCTATCTAAAAGTCAACGGAAAAATATCCTCAGGTGAGGATTAACAAAAACAAACAAACAAGCCTAAGGTAAGGAGAGAATCTTGAAAGCAGTAACAGAAGGAACTCATCACATAGTAAAATTACCAGCAGATTTCTGAAGAAACTTGAAAAGCCACAAGGCCGTAGGCCAATATATTTAAAGTGCTAAGAGAAAAAAATGTCAACCAAGAATCCTGTATCTACTAGAATGGTCCTTCAAAAGTGAGGGAGACATTAAGACATTACTAGTTAAACAAAAGCTGAGGAAGTTCATGACCACTAGACCTGTCCTGAAAGACATGACCAAGGGAGTACGCTGTGGCTAGGTTGGTTAGGTGTATTTCCATGCACCGCAAGGCTGCAAGTTTGATTCATGCCCGGGTCTTGGGCTCGATCTCTGGTCAAGGGTGTGCAGGAGGTAGTCAATTGCTGTTTCACTCTCACATTGGTGTTTCTCTCTCTCTCCCTCTTCTTCTCTCTCTGAAAATGAATAAAAAAATTTTTAAGAAAAAAAATGAGAGCATTGCAAAGTGAAAGGGACACTAGACAGTACTCTAAGCTTTATGAAGAGAGACGATCTCAGAAAAGGAAAATGCACAGGCAATTACAAACGTTAGTATTATTATAACTTTGGTTTGGCACTCCACATTTTGTTTTCTACACAATTTTAGAGATTAAACCATTTAAAAGAATTATTATGCCCTGGCCGGTTTTGCTCAGTGGTTAGTGTCAGCCTGCAGAACAGAGACTCCCGGGTTTGGTTCCTTTAAGGGCACGTACCTCAGCTGCAGTTTGTCCCTGGCCCCGGTTGGGGTTATGTGGGTGGCAACCACTCGATGTGTTTCTCACATCGATGTCTCTCTCTCTCTCTCTCTTCCTCCCTTTGTCCCTCTCACTCTATCTGAAGATAAATGCAAAAATGTCCTTCGGTGAGGATTAAAAAAAAAAAAAAAGAATTATTAGACATGTTTTTGGGGACACAATGTATGAAGATACAATTTTGTGACATTAACACTTAATAGGTGGTAGAGGCAGAGCTATAAAGGAGCAGCATTTTTACATGTTATTGAAGCTGGTATAAATTCAAATTTATACCAGTGTTATAACTTTAGGATGCTAAATGTAATCCCCAAGGTAACCACAAAAAATATTCCTATAGATTATATACAAAAATAAATGAGAACAAAACAAAACAAAGATTTCACTACTGAAAACAAGAAAACACAAAAGAAGACAGCAATATAGAAAGGCAGGAAAAAAGCTAGAAGGCATATAGAAAATTACAAAAATCTCTCCTTACCAGCAATCACTTTTAAAGTAAATGGATTAGCTCTCTAACCAAAAGACAGAGATTGGCACACTGAATTAAAAAAACATGATCCAACTACAATGCTGTCTATAAGAGATTCCCTTTTAGATACAAAGACACAAATTGATTAAAGTCAAAGGATGGAACAAGATATTCCAGACAAATAATAACCAAAAGAGAGCAGGGTGGCTATTCTAATATCAGAAAACGTAGACTTTAAATAAAAAAAGACTACAAGAGACAAGGTAGTGCATTATATTAATAAAAGGTTTGATACAGCAAGAAGATAGTAATGAATCATCAAAATATATGAAAAAGTAACAGAATTAAAAAGATATAAAAAGTTCTACAATAATAATAGTTGGAGCCTTCAACAGTTCACTCTCGATTAATAGATAGCAACCATTATAACCAGATATAGAACTTAACACAATAAACCTACTAGATCTCAGAGACATACATTCTACCCAATACATTCTTCTCAAGTGCATGTGAGGCATTTTCTAGGATAGACCTTATCTTAGGCCACAAATTGAGCACCGACAGACATAAAATATACCATAAAAAGTATCTTCTCGGACCACAACAGAATGTAAGAAATAACAGAAAATGGGAAAATTAACAAAATTGTGAAAATTAAACACCTCCTTAATCAAGAGATCAAAGAAGAAACCAAAAGGGAAATCAGGAAATACTTTAGAGCTAAGTAAAAAAGGAAACACAATATATCAAAACCTATGAGACTCAGCGAAATGGGCGCTAATGGGGAAATTTATAGCTATAAATGCTTTTTATTAAAAAACAAGAAAAATCTCCGATCAACAATCTAATTTTACAAACTAAAGAATTAGAAAAAGAACCCAAAGCTAGCAAAATGAAAGACATATTGAAGATTAGAGCAGAGATAAATGAAATAGAGAATAAGAAAACAGAGAAAAAGAAATGAAACCCAAAGTTGCTTCTTTTAAACACCTTTAGCTAGATGGACTAAGAAAAAGAAAGAGAAGACGCAAATTACTAAAATCAGAAATGAAGGTGAGGACATCATTATAGATTCTACAGAAATAAAATGGATTACAAGTGCTATGAACACATGAATGCCAAGAACTGGGAAGAGCTTGATGAATGTACAAATTCCTAGGTACACAAAACTCATCAAGAAATAGAAAATCCTAACAGACCTATAACTAGTAAGGTGACTGAATCAGTAACAAAATAATCTTACAATAAAGTAAAGCGAAGCCCTGGATCTGATAGCTTCACTGGTGAAATCTACCAAACATTTAAAGAAGAAAAACAAGCCCTAGCCAGTTTGGCTCAGCGGTAGAGTATCGGCCTACAGTCCAATGAGACGCAGGTTCGATTCCGGCCAAGGGCACGCGCTTCGGTTGCGGTTGCGGTTCGTCCCTGGTCAGGGTCATGTAGGAGGCCACCAATCCATGTGTCTCTCTTACATCGATGTTTCTCCTTTTTTCTCTCTCTCCCTCCCACTCTATCTGAAGATAAATGGAAAAATATCCTTGGGTGAGGATTAAACAAACAAACAAAGAAAAAAACCAACCCCCAAAACCCTTTAAAGAGATTTAATTAACTAGTGTCAGGGAGAGTTGCAGCCAAATCCCCAGGGTTTGTGAGAAAAATGGGGTGGACACCAGAGAACTGGTGTCTCCAAAGTATATATTGCAGACCAGGTGCATAAATACCTGGCATTTTAAACTTTTTTAATGTCAAGCACCTAATTTATGAAATCAAAAAAGGACTGGTCTTAATCTTACCTGCACAAGATACCGTGGATCCACATTTAAATAAGGAGACAGAGGATTCATACCCGTCACTAAAGAGAAAACAAAGCATCATATTGCAACAAAAAGTTTAAAGTTATGAAATTTAGCATTAATTCTGCTTGTTTCATGTCTTGCAGTTTTGATTTACAGACTCACTGAATGTGAACATTTCTCCCTTTTTCAATGCTTATCCTTCTTGTCCGGCAGTTCTGGGCTGCCTTCTGCTGTCTTCAATACCAAACCAGGTCTTGCAGTGGTGACGCTGGTTCCCACACAAAGGTAAAGGCAGTAACGTGTGTTGAATAATCAAAGTATAAGAAAGCATAGCCAAGGTCAATTATAAAGCTAATTTCTTTAGACTTTGCTACAAGAATGCTTGCCAAGTGTACAAATTGCAAAATAAGACTGACAAGAGACCAATCAATTCTATGGGAAAAACAGTGTTTGGGTTATGTGTTGTGCATAATATTTTGTGGCAGGTCCTTCAGATTTTAGTATTAACAGCTGCTGACAGAATTGATTTACTGTGGCAGAGTAGAGAATTCTTGGGCCATCCCAACAATGCGATGGGGATCAGGCAAAAGAAAATGGAAACTCGAGAGGGCTAGACTTGAATCTCACTAACTGAAGTTAGAAAAACCTATCAAGGAAAATTGACTTTCTCACATTTTAAATTTAATCTTTGGAACCTTATGTATCTCAATTGTTCACAAATCTATGCATTATCCACGATTCTAGTCTTTTCATTAATGGAAAGTCCGATTAGTTCCACATTCAATAGCCATCTTGTGTTGTTACTTATCACCATCTTTACTGCTACCACCCTAGTGCAACCATTAAATTTCACCTAGACTACAGTAACAATCTCCTACCTAACTGGACTACTTATTTGCTCTAGTCCCTTCAACTCACTTTCTACAAAGCAACTAAAATTATTTTTTAAGAAAAGGAAATCAGCCTTAATGGCTGTCATTTACACTTATTATCAAATCCAAACTCCTCACCATGGCTTACAAAACACATTAGCTGCCCTTCCTTGCCCCTCTCATCTCATTATCTCCTACAACTCCTACTCTCTTGCAACTTTGTACACACACCTAACGATTGTTCCTGCAATATGCCAAGTTTTTTTTTTTTCTCAGGACATTTGTATCCCACATCTCCACTGGTATATTTGCCTCCTCCCAGGCATCTGTATTGTATTCAGGTCACAGCCCAAATGTCAACACCTGAGTTGCTTTCCCTGCCCCATTCTAAAGTGGCTTCCTGCTCTCATGATCCCGCGTTACTGCCTTCACACACACTTATCACTTATGGAAATGTGTTTGCCCCTTGGCTTGCTTCAACAGGATGTAAACTCCATGAAAGCAGCAGCCATTTAAAAAAATTAAACTGCTGAGTCCTGCGCCCATAAAAGTCACTGGCTCCTTGTAGGTGCTCCGTGAATGGGGTTCCCCCTTCAATCTCTCACTTGGCCTTCAAATCTTAATCAAATTAATGTAACGATGTTTTGCCACATTAAGGCAGTGCCCTCTGTGCTCCAAAACTCGGAGCTCCTAAGACTTACTATATATAAACTGTGTTCTACATTCAGTTTGGACACAGGTGACACTAGAAACTTGAAAGGGCTTTTTATTTTGCTCTTGAGCATAAAGGACCTAGAGAAATAACACAAGAATTCTCAAAAAATTAATGTTTTACAAAGTACTTATTCTCCACCAACTTGCTACTATCTCTAAGCTCAAGCCCCGTCCCTGCAGTCGAACCCCGCAGCTTCCGAGGCGCGGACGGCAGCCCGGGGCGCAGAGGCGCGGTGTCCCTAGCACCCTCCACGGAGCTCTCCTCCGGCTGCCACCCGCGCGTACTCGTGGGGTCTGCCCTGGCGGCTCCTTTGGGGAAGTGGAAGATAAGGCACAACGTGCGCCAGCATGTTTTCTGCGGGACGCTGCCTGGAATGCACTTCTGTGCAGGGGGCTCCTCGACGCAGGGCCGAGCACAGCCCATCGCACAGGACACGTGGGCGGCGCAAGCTAAGGCCCAAGGCTCGGACACCGAGGAGGAAACAGGGAACATCTCCTGGGTCCAGGGCAACCACACAGCTTCTCGGGGACCCATGTCTCCAAAGGCTCGTTCACTCCGGGCACCACTGACCCTGCAGACCGTGCACACCAACGAAAAGGACAACAGGGCGCGCCGCACGCCAGGAATCAGTCCGAAACGATGGCAAGCTGCGCGGCGTACTTACGCGGGACGCCGGCCAAGTCCGCGTGCGAGTAACCCGCTCCGCCGGCTCCGAAAAAGCCGGCCAAGCCCCCTGTGGTTTTGTTGCCGCTTCCCCCGCCGCCCTCCATGGTCTTGCAGCGAACTGCCCGTCTCTTCTCACCACCGCCTCAGGCCGCGATCGTCGGCCGTTCCTCCTCAGGAACAGCGGGGAGCAGCGCTTCCAGGGACTCCTTCACACGCTGACCTTCCGGGCGCCGGCGTCCGCGAAGCCTGGCGTCCGCGAAGCCCTACTTCCGCTTTGCGACGTTGTGCGACCCGGAAGCCGGCCGCGCCTAACGGCAGCTCTCCGGTGGTGGGAAAGTGAACGAAACGAGAGTCTGGGCGGCGCATCCCGAGGCAGGCGGGTTCGCTGTGGAAGAGGGAAGGCAGGTGACTGGGTAGGGCCTGGCTCGGAAGCCGGCGGAGCCGCAGCTGCAGCAGCAGGCCACAGCAGAGAGGGGATGGTGCCCGGAGGCGCCGAGAAGGAGGCGCAGTCCGCCCCTCAGGGTTAGTGAATGAGGCTCTCCACCCGGGCCGGCCCGGGGACGGTGCGGTGCGGGTCCCAGCATGAGTGCGGGCCCCGGCTGTGAGCCCTGCACCAAGCGACCCCGCTGGGGCGCCTCTGCAACTTCTCCGCCGGCCGCCTCGGACGCCCGGAGCTTCCCCGGCAGGCAGAGGCGCGTCCTCGATCCCAAGGACGCCGCTGTGCGGTTCAGGGTCCCACCCTCCTCGTCAGGCTGCGTCCCGGGGTGGGCGGGACCGCACAGAGGCAGCACCACCTCGCTTGGTACGTGGGGAAATAAAGATTTTTGTTCTTCGCCTCGGCCCAAACCTCCTTTTGGTCTCTGTGAGGACCCCGGGACTCCAGTCACCCCTTCTGGTCTAGTGCGCATCACTCTGAGGTCCCCTTGCTGAGCCACCAAGGCCACTGGTGGGGAAGTAGGGCCACATTTTTCCCCGTTGCAGTCGATGGTGTGAGAAACCCTGATGAGCAGTCACAGGGCCGAAAATGACAGGGGACTCCACTGGTTACTTTACTCGGGTTTGGCTGAGAAATTCTTTTAGTCGCTAAGGAGGTCTAATTGCGCATGTGAAACTTCAGCCTCTAGAACTGAAAGAAACTACAACACAACTTCCCTCAGTTCAAATTCTGGTTCCTTGGGTGCAGAGCTGTTAGTCTTAGCTGGCACTGTACTCCACTCCGGCGTACGTGGTTGAACAGGAGTCACTGGGCGTCTGCCTTCAGCCCCTAACGTTTATTGGGAGAGAGACGGTTACTGAGGTCAACATAATAAAGGGTAATGGGTATTTTGATAGATGGTAGGAATACCTAGTCCAGTCTGGGATTAAAGATAATCTCCCAGAAGATGAGGTGCCTGATCTGAGGACTGAGGAATGATGAGTTAGCTCGATGAAGAGGAAGTAAGAAAGTATTCCCAGAGTGCTATCAAGGGAGAGTGGTGAGAGGTGGGACTGAGAGAGAGAGGCAAAGATCAGCTCCTATTGGGACTTGTAGAGCTTTGCACTTTATATATAAGGGGAACGAGGCTAATAAAGGATTTTCAGTAAGGGAGTGGCTTGATTTTATATAAGTATATCTTTTTTGGGAGTGGGGATAAAGGTGCCTGTGCCTGGTGTGTGGAAAATGATGAATGGATGGAAAGGGAGCAGAAGGGCTGTCCCATGATTCATTAAGGAGTTAGTCTAGGTGGGAGGTAAGATGGTTTGTACTTAGCTTTGGGCAGTAGGGAAGGGGAGAAGTGGTTCCCTTTGGGAGAGCAGGGGTAAGTGGGCTTGTACTCATAAGAAGTATATCTGTGCTGTGAATGAAGGTTTGGGAGATTTTGGCATAAATGTGATCATTGATGCTATGGAAGTTAGATCATATAAGGCATGTAGAGGAATAAAGGTTACCTAGGACAGAAACTTTAGGAACACTGCCATTTAAGAGTAGACTGAAGAGAAGCAGCCAGAAAAGTAGGAGGAAAACCTGGCTTTTGTTATGTCACACAGGGAGGATAGCATTTCAAAAAGGAGGTCAGGCAGTCCTCTGGTGTACACTTACTTCTCTCAGGATTGAGAGGCAGTGGGGAGCAGACCTAAACTAAGTATTGAAGGATGAGTAGGATTTGCTGCATAAATCAAAGAGAGCACAAATTGTATAGGCAGAGAGAACAGCATGTGCAAAAGGTGGTAGGACTGGAGCACACAATGACAGTGTCAGATGACTCTGGGAAGGTGGGCAAGAGCTTATGGACAACTTCGAGTGCCATTTCAAGGCATTTGGACTTTATTCTGTGGTTAATGGGGAGCCACTAAAAAGCCTTTGAGAAGGGGAATATCATTTGGTTAATGTTCTGGAAAAGATTTCTTAGGCAGTGGCCTTTGGACTCTTGTAACTGTAATCCAAGGTTTGAATTTCACTTAGTACACAGAATAAGAAATATATGTAACCTGTTAAATATGCCATATTTAAAACAAATTTTTCATGAAATAATACTTACCCATACTATGTATATTACATTTTATGTTGTCTGAATTGTTTCATTAAACATTTTTAGTCATTTGTAGTTTATAAAACAGTTGGAGAAAGTGAAGACATGACCAGTTGCAAGATACAAGTGCAGTTGTTCAGTAATTGATGTACCTGTTTGTTTAATTTTGGTGCTGTTTTGAAGGTGGAGAGGAAAGGATGGGTTTCAGATTTCAGATACAGATTTCAGAGGACTTTGTGAAGGAGAGTGGAGGGGACAGGGAACTAAGGGTGACCTCTAGGTATTGTATCTGAAGTGACAAGTTAATCTGTGGTCCTATTAATTTATTTGTAGATAAAGGAGGAGGAGTTAGTTGCAGGTAGTAGGGGGCAATCAGTCCTCACTGGTTGGATTTTCTGATTTTCTGCAGAAAATAGGAATCAAATTAATACTTGAGTTGTACTTTATGTGTTTAAATGTTTTCAGTATACTTGGCACAGGACACCAATGAATAAAATGTTCAAAGTCTAAATCTATCAAAAATTATTGTTTCAAATTTTGGAACTTTTTTTTTAAAGGAGCTTAGTATTTAAAATTTTTTGTATAATTTTTCTAGGAGAAGTAGGCGGGATAAGGAAGTGGGTATTTTTCAGTATCTTTAAATTTTGTGTTATTTATCTTCCTAGGCATATTTCTTATATTGATTGAAATTTGCATGTCTGCATATAAGCAGATTCTAGCATGACATTCACATTCTGATAGAGAATGATTTGTCCAGTTGTATTGCTGTGGGAGCTCCCTTTTTCTGCCTGTTATAACTACCTAGAGTTTCCCCACTGCAGAGATGGTCCAAGTGTAGGTTAGTGATCGGTCCTCACCACATCCTTCCTTCCCATACCTTATCTTGCTGCTGCTGGAGGAAAGAGACTTTTTATGGAGGTGGGGTGTTCCTTTAATGTGCCGGTGAATTTTACGGATTTGGTGCCTTTTGCTTGCACCTAATTGAATGATTTGCTCACTGAAATATTGCTGATTACTGAGTGATGTTGCTGATGAGATTATGTGTAAGTTGTGTGAAATCAGAATAAAGTTGGATAACTACTGATCTCAGTTAAGAAAGAGATTGGGTGGAGGTGTTGGAAGATAATACATTTGTTGAGTTTCTGCTTTGTGAGGCTGGACACTTAATATTTTCTCTCATTAATCTGCATTAGCTTTGGCAGTATTATTAACCACATTTTGTAGATGAGAAAATAGAAACTTACAGAAATGATGTACTATTAAGTGACTGAGAACAGATCTCAATCTGAGATCTTGTTTGACTCCAGATCTTGGATCTCTTGCATCACCTTTTGCCTCTCTTTTGGTTTGCTGTGCTTTGTTTTAGTTAAAAGGAAGAAATTCCCAGGCAACCTGGGAAGCATCATTTCATGCTTACTTCAGTAATAAGAGGGGTAAAACTGAAACGGTCCTGTGATGTGTTGTGAATGAAACCTTTGGAAGCCAGAAGTAGTAGTTTTGGGAAGAGAAGTAGGCAGGCTTTTCTCTGGGGCCCTCAGAAGGACCGAGAAATATTTTATTAGCTGGAAATATCCATCCCTCACCTGTTGCTTCACCTCCTTCATCCTGTTCTCAGGTTGCAGGAATGATAATAGGAAGCCTGAAGCTAGAGAAGGAACCCAGGTTCAGTGCCAGAGCTTCAGGAGAGAGCCTTGCACTTCAACTGCACTAGAACACTTCATAATTTTTTACGAAATGATGTAGGCAGTATTTAGGTTCTATAGACTTGTCATTGTAAGTACTGTTTCATGTGTATTATAGGGACCTAGCCACTGCATAACATTTAATCCTTAAATTTATGGAAAAAGCTGTTTTAAATTCTAGACTGACTCAAAAAATGAATTTTTTTGGTTTATTGCTGGATTGTAATTTGAGGATTTTCTATACTTACTGTAATCAATATAATGAAATAGCAAAGATGGAACTAGAGAAAGAGTCTTAAGTGGTTCATCTTTTACTCCTTTCTGACTGAAACTAATTTATTTCTGAAGCCTGATTTGCTGTTGAAGTACTAACTTATTACTAAAGTAGTGGTGTTTCACAAGAAATATCAAATATACATGTAATTACTTTTTTGAAAGAAACTAAAATATTGAATAGATTTTTACAAGCTACAGTGTTAGCATTTTGTGGAAGTTACACATATGTAGCATTCAGTTGCAGTGATAAATAAGCTGTTGATTTTCATATATTTGGGACAGCATCTGTTTTGTTCACGTTATGTTTGAGGGGACATAGGTAGTTGAGAATGAGTTTATGATTTAAGATACCTAGACTTTTACATTGCAATATAGACAGTAGTTGAGACTGTTAAAGATTTTGTGTTTTTATACTAAAATATCATATACTTTTAATCTACATGAAGGACATTACATTTTGAAAGCATGCTTATTTCTAATGCTTATTAAGTTGTGGCTTGCATTTATATATGTTGCATTTCTCTCCATTGAGCCACTGATTCTACTTTTGCTACTGTCTGCTGGTCATTTCTATATAGTTATTTCATTGGCAACTGAAATTTAGTGTGTTCAGAATTGACCTAATCATATTTCCCCCCTAAATCCAGATCACCCCCACATTGCTATTTAATGCTGTCACCATCTTTTAAGTTTCTCAAGCTTAAAACTTAGTGTTACTTTTAACTTCTATGATTATTAAGCTTGTGATGACTCACTTTTCAGCTTTTCCTCTCTAT